ATATTTAGTGGTTTATCCAACATTGTAAAGTATTTTTGTCAAATATATCCAGTAATTCAAAGTATTTTGTGACATACCTAACTCTCAGAAATATTTTTTTAAGTGTATCAAACACTATAAATACCATGAAACCTAAAGTCTAAATCCTAAATTAAGGTGCTCAATGTACCTAAAAAAATGCTTGAGTGTTGGATGAATAACAAAATATTTTGAAGTGTTGGATGAGCTATAGTACATCTGGATGCATTTAAAAAAAATATTTGAAAGTGTTGATGAACCTTAACCTTAGAAAAATTATCTTTAATTGAATTCAACAATTCTTAGGGTTAACATGATAACATTAAATATTGAATAATTATTTTTTTTTGATAGTAAAATATTGAATAATTATATAAAAAGGGTAAAGATACATACTCCCTCTATCCCATTTTATAATCAACAACTACCATCTTTCTCTTGTTTCTAAATATAAGCAATATTTGCAAGTTGTCTTCAATTTTTGTAACAAATTTTCTATTTTTCCCTCATTAATTACTTATTTTAATACTCAATATATTTGTTATCTTATTTCTCAACTCATCATCTCTCCATCATCCTTCTCTCTCTTCCATAATTCTCTTTATTATAATAATTTTTTATTCTCTCTCTTATACCTTTTTTTCCCCATAAATAAGGGCATTTTAGTGAAGGAACTTTTAATTTCTACATACTTACTGTCTTTAACTAATGTTAACTAACATTTTGCTCTACATGATGAGTTTCAATGTTGCCTATAAAAAGGAAAAGAGGGAGTATCTAGTAGTATTTCACATGTATCCAGTATCTTAATCTTATCTTCCTAGTACAACCAACATTCTAATGTTATGTTTTTAATTACATTAACCATCCTAAGAGGTGCACTACAAATAATATTAGGGGAACCCGAAAAAGAAAAATCAATGTGTTGAATCTAATTTTTAAGCTTGTACAATAGTAGCAGGGAAAATAGATACTCCTCTAGTTCTTAATATAGGATCTAATTGTTAAGTTAATTTTGGTCCTAAAAATAAGACTTATTTCTCATATTTATTAATATTTTTTAAATTATCTCTATGATACTCCCTCAAACAAGTAGAAGAGGGAAAGAGGATATTAAAAAAGATAATTATGGTGTTTTAAGAAAAACATGTCATATTTTTTGTAATTAACTAACTTACCTAAATTTTTTAATTTAATCAAATTAGTTAAATAGGTGTTATATTAAGGATTGAAGGAGTACATTAATATCCTAAGCTCAATGACAAACTCAATTATTTTTATATATTTTGATATCTTTTATATGGGTTTTGTCAACTTAATTAGTCTTTTTGGCCTTACTTGATTATTAATTGATTTAATATATTTTATTTTGAATTATTATTTTATAGGGGCAAAATTGTCATATTTTGATTTAATTATGATTAATTGATTTTTAAGAACAATTAATGCTACCTTATCCTTGAATTTTGTTTGTAGGTTTTTAAAAGATTTAAAATTTAAAATAAAAATGAAAAAAGAAAAAGATAAAAGATAAAAAATATATATAATAATTGCGTTTTGCTCCCCCAACCTAATACCCAATTAATCATCATCATCTTCAGAGAGCAACACACACGCGGGGGAGACTGAGCGAGCTGAGGGGCTGCTAGGAAAAATAGGGGAGGAAGACAAGAGTGAACAGCAGAACGAAGGGGGAGACGGCACAATCACAGTCCGACATTCTCTCCGTTCACCACCATCATCATCGTCATCTTCTTGCTGGTGGCAGCGTAGAGCGACAGGAGGAGTGAGAGAGTGAGGACCGGAGGTGTTGACGGCGTGAGCTCAACAGAAGTCACTGTGTTCTTCAATCCCATTCGTTTGACTCCATTTCTTCACTTCCATCAACTCGAAATCATCCATCTCCTCTTCTATCAACCCAATCCATATACACCATCACCACCGTCTTCTCCTTGCCGGCGCACAGAACCAGTGAGGACCACTTTCTGTCATCTCCTCCATGGCAGACCGCAACAGAATTTTGATTACAGCAATTTTGATGACAAACCGTGGCTAGTTTCATAATTCTCTAATTCAACAACAATGGCAAGAGCTCGGATCATCAAAGGGGAGTTTTAGTTACTTTAATTTTCTGTCCAATAATTGTTTAACAATTCCTAGGTCTTAGGATAGTTTTTCTGATTGTTGGGATAATTATATTGCTTAATCTGATTATATTTGGAGATTATTGTGACTAGATTATTGTTTAGCATTTGACATTGGACTGTTTATAATTTTAATTTCAATTATAATGTTGTGGTTATGACATTTGTATTGATTTTGGAGTTAATATATTGTGATTTTCTGAGGTGGCTTGGAATCTTGGATCATATTGTCTCTTGCTAGCTTTAATTCTGTTGTTTTGGATTTAAGAGTTCTAATTAAGCATTGGTTTTAGCATCCTTAATCCCATTTTATTATTCTGGTTGCAGTTAGTAAGTTGGGATTTTAGGAAAATATTTTATGGCAATTCAAGGTGGCTCGGTTGTTGGATTAAAAAATTAATTATAATTCTAAATTCATTGTTTTAACTCCCGTATCTTTTGGAGTGAGGATTGCCTGCTTTGTTGAATTGGAGGATTGATTGTTATCATTGTTATTTGTGTGTTCTATTTTTATTTCTTTAATCTTCATTCATTTTAATCATTTATATATAAAAAAAAGTATTTTAATTTCAATTTAATTCAAGGTGTTTACTTAGCAATTATCAAATTAAAAATCCTTTTTATAGTTTAGGTTACTTGCATTTATTTACTAGGGTTTAATTTCATTTTCGGCTCCTCAAAGTGAATACGACCCGGATTGTGCATTATATTACATTAATTCGGTTAATATTTAGAGTAATCCCAAAATGACAAATTAAGGGCAATTAACTCCAGTCAAAGGGAAAAAATCAACGGATCTGGAAGGCGACTTCCGAATTTCTATATTGGAATATTGTGAGTTGTCCGGTCAGAGTCATGTCCACGCTAGCTGCTTATCGCGCGCCTCGTCCCTCACCTGAAGGCTAGAAAATATAAGCGCCCTCTGTTTTTCAACATCCTACGTGTCACCTTCCCATTCGTTTCCATTTCTTTGTCTCTTTCTAGGGTCCCCACAATTTCCTGAATCCGAACTAGTCCGAGGAAAAAAGCTTCTCCACTCGCAGATATTTCACGTGACAACCACTTGCGGTTTTTCAATTGTTCTGTCTTAAAATTTGAGAATTTTATAGTTTTATAGCCATTATATATATATATATATATATATGTACACACTAATAGATAGAGAGTAAAATAATATCACTCTAGTCCTAAAATAAGTCATTTGTGGGGAAAAAATTTGGTCCTTAATCTAAATCATTTGTTATATATCTTAATATGTTTAAGATTTGTTTTCAATTTCACCTTTATTTAATTCTCACTTAAAAGAGATAAAAAAAGAGATAAGAATGATTTCTAAATATAAATAGACAAAATAAATTTAATAAAAATTAAATTTTTTATTAATTTAATGTATTTCCTAGTACGTAAAAATGTGTTACAACTTGCAAATGACTTGTATTAAATGCCACTGTAGAATAGTCATGTTAAACATTTAACAATGTGACTTATGAATGGAATCAACCAAAATTCCTCTCTCTCTTGTAATTAGAAGTAGAGGAATACCACTCTGGTATTTATTATTTGTTACTTGTAAGTTTTTATCACATATCAAAGAAAGTATTAAATAGATAAAATCTTCTACTTTTGTACTAATATATTTTCTTTCACTCATTTCCTTTTTCTTCACCTTTACTATAATTAATCGGAACAGAATTGGAAATAAGTATTAAAAAAGGTACAGGTGACAAATAAAAATGACCAAAATCCCTTACTACAAATGACAAATAATAATAACCAAGTGGTACATCATAAGATAAAACGTTTAAAATACGAGTTCAATAAGAGTGTCTCATGGGGAGAAGCCTATGAAAAACAAGAATATATTAAGGATCAACGCACTAATCTTATTTTCTAGGTGCATACAGCATTCTACTCTTTTGTACCATACATCTAACACCTAATCTTATTTTTCTGGTACGTCCAGCATCCTGATATTATTTTTTTTTAGTTATAGCCAACATCCCAATTAGATCAGAGTGCTAGATGTACCAAAAAAAAAATATTTGGATGTTAGATGCATCATACAATAGATCAGGATGCTGGGTGTACCTCAAAAATAAGGTCAGGGTACTGAATGCACCTCTATTCAAATACTAAAAACGTTTTTTAGGTTAAAAATAATACTCATATGATCCTATTTATAGGGCAGCAAGAAAAATTTTATGTTTTTCTTCATTCTATTTATAAGCCACATCAATAATTTTAGTATGAATGTATCATTTTGTGCTTCATTTATCGTTAGTTTTGTTATGAAAAGTATAAATATTAAACATGATTAAAGTTAAAAAAATTGTTATATTTTTTTTGGTAAAAGAAAAATTGTTTTATTTTAATACTGGAGTAACTATTGCTGTTTAAAATATTTCTTAATCTACTCATGATACATTAGAAATGCCCTAAAAATACCACAAGAAAAACAGGAACCGAGGCGGACAAAACAAAACCCACTTGAGCTTTGCAAATAGAAGTATTCAAAGTGCATCATTCATTAAAAGGGGAAAAAAGCCTCTCTCATTAGGACCTTCTCTAACAAACCTGTCTTCTCCTTCTCCTTCTTCTTCTGTTTCTTCGTCTTCTTACTCTTACAACTGTTCTGTGAGTACCATCGACCATATATGCACTCTTTATTACGATCTTTCTTTTTTTTGGCTTTTTCCTTTTTAAGTAATATCTTTGGTTTTGGAACATATTATATATATTCCGATTCCTTTGAGAATGGTGTTTTTGTTTGAGATTTTTTTTTCTGATGAATTTTGTGTGGTTGATCTGGAAGGGAAGTATAGAAGAAACCCTAGAGGAATGGGGAAAGCCAAGATTGCGATTGAGAGGATTGACAATTCAACCAACAGACAAGTCACTTTCTCAAAGAGACGAAGTGGTCTGTTCAAGAAAGCAAGAGAGCTTGCGATCCTCTGTGACGCACAGGTTGGTGTTATTGTGTTCTCCAGCACCCACAAGCTCTATGAATATGGAAGCTCCAGGTTCCTCTTTCTTCTCCCAGCTTAATTATCTTCGATTATATGCCTTTAGATCTTGTTTCTTTCTGAGATAATTAAACTTTCGTGAATGTGATGATATTCTGTCAGATACTGTGTGTGGTTGTTCGTACTCGATGAAGTTAACCTTTTTTATTTGTGTATTTTCCCACTTTCATATATTCAAGTGTGTATCATGAGATCTTGTAATTGATGCTTTAGTTTTCTCTGTTTTTTTCCTCCCTTTTTCTCCTCATATATCCTTGCTTGTGTGTGTGTGTGTGTGATCAACATCCATGCATTTGCGTTTGAATGGTGTTATTTTCAGAATCCCTTGTCTGAATTGTGATGTTACCAGTAACAGACGCTTGATTTTCTCCTACCTTTGTTCTTTCTATTGTGGGTCTCCTTTAGTTTAAGACATTATGTAAGATAACTCGTGTAAATTATTTATATATATACTAGCTCCTGTCCTAATTATATATTTTAGGACAGGAGCTAGTATATATATAGACATACTTATAGGTAAATTAGTGAGAACAAACTTCACTTGGCTTCCTGTAAAATAACTATCCAAATTAATCCCTCACCAGACTGGCAAACTTTTCTGGTTAAATTGATCTGCACTGCCATGGCGCGCTTGTAGCTAGCTAGCTTTCATATATACATGTATAGATCCACAAAGCTACAAATACATGCACACATAAAAAGATATCTCTTTTATATCTATATAAGGAAAATTAACCATTTGGTTCTTATAGTTAACTTGATTAGAACTCGCTGAATTTTTACTTGATGCAACTCATTTTTATTAATGTGGGTATGTGTGTGTGTATCAACCTAAGGTTGGTTTTAAATTGAAACATGGTTTGAGATATGAGTGAGTTCAATAAAACGTGTGGTCCGCTGTTCTGAAAGGATATGCAATATTAGTTGTAGTACAAACAAGTTTTGCATAAAGATGAGGAATCTAGTATAAATGTAAAATTATAGTACATCTAGAAAGTCAATAAAGCCGTATTTATTTATATAATAAGACGCATATATATATATATATATAGTATAGAGACCTTATTATCTTTTAAGTTAAAAAAAAAAAAAAGAATGAAACGTAACCTTTAAATTCAAATGAAATATGATGTAATTCTAAAATTATGTATATCCAAGACAGCCAATTGTTGCTTACAGTTAGATACATTTCTGTGTATTGCGTAATTTAATGAATGAGTCATGCATGCATATTATTCATGGCTTGTGCATAATGCAACTCTTATATTAAGGACAGAAGATAATATTTGCAAAGACTCTGTATCATTTGATTTGTTCACAAACGTAATGTATATTGACAAAAACTTAATTTAATTTTCATTTGGTTGATTGAATTCTTTGCTTAATATTGGCAGCCTGAAGTCAATTATTGAGCGATACACTAAGCAAATAGAGGAACATCATCATCCACTCATGAATTCCGACTCAGAAGCCAAGGTACAAGACCAAATGCTGTTCCTCAAATATTTTTCTCCCTCTCTTGTTCTCCAATGCCCTAAAGCCAACTTCAATTATATTCCCAAATGTTGATATCTCACGGCGATCAAATAGTGTAATTTTCAATTTTTTAATAGCTTTTAAAAAAATGCATAATTTTAGAGTATTTATAAGTCCTGTGCAAGTAATGATATCCATAAATCATATATAATTGCGAATGTAAGTGTGGTTGTATATTCTTGCACCTGTCAAGGGAAAATGGGAGAGGAGGTGAAGAACCGCAGTCCATATGTTGATTCTACATAAATTGCACATCTGTAGTTATAGGCCTTACTTATATACTGCCTTTAGTCTTTAATATAAGAGCTAGACAATTAATATGGGGAGATTAAAAAGGTTAGTTAGATTGGGTAATTGTAACAAAAATGTGTTGACTTCTCTAAACTATCCTCTTTAACTATGTGTATTATTAACTATCTATTAGTGAAAATCTCTTACAAGTTACAATCAATAGGGATAGTTTGGAGAAAACATTATAAATTTTAGGGACAAAATGGATTGAAGTCTATATTATTTATAGTCCTTAATACAAAAGCTAGATAACTTATTTGTAAATAAATTAGTTAAGTTAGTGATTTGAAATAAATAGGTATTTCTTTTCTAAAATACTCTTGTTAATCATGTGTATTGGAACCTCTCTTTCATGGAACCTTTAACATATGCAATCATCATAGAGACTACTTCATGAAAAAATGGATAAATATAAGGGACAAAGTGGATTGGAATCTTATATTTTCAATCAAATTGAATTATCAACTAGCTCTTGTATTAAGGATAGGAGATAGCATCATTAGTTAGAACTCACAACTTCTTCCTTACAATTGCATCACTCCTTATTGAATGCTATTGTTATATGTGTGATTTCACTTGTTAGTTTTGGCGGAGAGAAGCAACGGTCTTGAAGCAACAACTGCAACACTTGCAGGAATTGCACAGGTACAAAAGGTTAATCTCACAGGAAAGTGCTATGAACAAAGCAGTGCAACACAATGGTTTCAAAATTAAAGTGCAATATGTTCTGATTTTTTCCCTAGAATATATTCTGAAAATAAATGGGAAAATTTGGCAAACCACAAGTAACTTATTTCCTTTTGAAAAGGAAGGCAATTCATGGGTGAACAGATTTCTGGTCTGGGAATCATCGAGTTGAAAACTTTGGAAAATCAACTGGAGATGAGTTTAAAAAATGTCCAGATCAAGAAGGTATGATAGATCATTTCAACTCATATCTACACTCCATTTAACATGTCACCATTTATATATACAAGCAAATAAGGTAACCTGAACTTGATCATTAATTCGTCTGTAGGAGCAAATTTTAGCTGACAAGATTAAAGAGTTACAACACAAGGTAAGGTACTCAAGAAGTCTGCTTCTGATATTGCCATGTAAGAAAGGACTTCCCACATATTCCGACTAATTTATTAATGCTATTGCAAGAACATCAAATTCGCCAAGAAAATGTACAACTCTACAAAACCATAGAAGTCATTAGTAAAGAAAATTACAGGCGAAGGTAAGTTGATAAAAAACCATTTTAGTGAATTATAGGTCATGTAATTAATGTGCTACAGACGAAGAAGTTTGCCTTCAATTACACAGCAATCAAGGAGGGAAGATGAAGACATCATCTCTAGTGAGCCTGTACTATTTATTCAAAAGCTAAATGTTTCAAGTTTTCTTTCAAAGCTTTCATAGACTTGGTTTGTTTTTTTGGCCACTTTCCTTAGATTTCTGAAGCAAGGGTTGTGAATGAGGAATACGGGAATCCTAATAATCCTACATGCACTATTCATCTCCAGCTGAGCCAACCACAGTCTCAATCTAGTGAATCACCAACCAAAGCAATGGAGCTGGGGTATATCTTATATATCCCTTGAAACTGAGTAAACATATATTGCTTATTCTTTAGAATTACAAATAATTGAGCTCTTGATTTTTATGACAGATTACAGCTGCTTTGGCACAACCTCTTTGACAATCTAGGATTCTCAACGCCATGCTGCCACCAACTTTCCTGTAAGAGGTGTTTCATCAGGAATCATTGCTGTCATTGTTAAGGATCAAACATATTATATCGGATGTGTCTCTGTAAATTTTAGACAATAACACTACCAAACGTGCCAAGTGTTGAATTATTTAGTATCCAGATTTGTTGTGATCAAATGATGGAATATGATCTGTCGATCTTTCAATGAAATAGCCATAAACACAAACCTCCCGTTTTCTCCTACCTTTTTTTGTTCCCCCCCCCCCCTTCCCTTTTTGGTGATATGTAAAATTTCAAGTGTTTACTTCAGAACTGAGTGTAAACTAAGTGAATAAGCTGAATTAGCGTAAATCTCTATTCACATTCCCTCCATCCCTAATTTATTTATATTTTTAGTAAATGGCATAATTTTCTATCTTTATTGCTTATGGTTCTATTTTCCTATATTCAAACCATTTGACCATGTATGGAAATAATTCGATATATATACTCTCAAAAACATAATGGAAATTGAATTTCGTCAAATTAATAACATGAGTACTTAAGAATTGGTGACAATATAAACAATATACCAACTGATAATGTACAAAGACTTGAAGTTTAAATTAAACTTAATTATATTTTTGTAGTAACATATCAAACTAAATATATGTACTAGAAATGTAGATCATCATAATACTAAAATGAGCATTGTTTACTTCACCCGAGAAATAAATTTTCGGAGTGTCAATGTGAATGCACATGTGAGCAAATAAAAAATTATGCGTAGCAGTCAAGTTATTGCCAATCTACTTTTAGCTAATTAATTAAATAAATGAAATGGAAAGAGCTGGCCATTGTCGGCTATTCTTATTTAAATCATTATACTTGAATTGTTAATTTTCTGATTTGTCTTTTCTGTAAGTTAAAATATTTGAGGGCTTTGATTGTTTCAGGAACGACATCTTCGTCGTGATATAAGAACATTATCACATGGGTACGAAAAAGTTCATATCCAATTGAAAAGATGGGCTAAGCACTTATCATCCACAAATGAACATGGGACGGCAGTTATCAGAATTAGTTTTTCACTAATTGCAAGTTAACCTATCAACTATCGTCTTAAAAATTGCAACCTTCCATGTTCTGGACTCCGCAACCTCACAGGCTTTTGCAGTGTTAAGAATAATTTATTTGGTTTAATTTTTAGGGTTTTGGTTTGTAATTTAAGTGGGCAAGAATATTAACCATTTATTCTATATTGTTTGATTAGTTTCCATATCGTGAGTAAGGCTAAGGAGTTTTATGTTATTTCACATAGTGAAAATTAATTGTAACTAAGTCCTATAAGATTTGAATTTAGCTTTGCAAATTTTCAAGACTTATTTATAAATAATTTATTTTTATTATATATGTTAGGTCTACTAGAGACCCACGTCAGCAAAAATAAAAATGCTATGAGCCTATGACATAGGCTATGCACTATATTTTCGTACGGAACCAGTCTTAGCCATGTATATTCTTTTTCTATTGAAAATTTTAGCTGATTTTATTTTTAACATCCCCTTGCGTTGAACGAGGATTATTGTAAGGTTAAGAAAAAGACTGCCATAGTCATAGCATAGTTACCGGTGTTTGAGAAACCCTATATTCAAATAAAAAGGATTTTTTTATAGCTTATAAGCGAAGATAAAATTCTTCCTCTACATTATTTCACATATAGTACAAAATCATTTAAGAAAAACTATTCCAAATTTAATGAGACGAGAAAGCACAACTATAACCTCTTATTTTAGAGCCTAGGCCATGGAGTTGACCCGCTTGGGCCATGATCATGAGAAAATAGAGGCAGAGAGCAAGAGCACCTAGGCATTGGAATGAGGGCCTGGGTGCTCTGTCGCTCATAGCAAAACGATGTGCTTTTCACTAAACTGAAAAATTTTAGGGTTTGAAACATATATATCCTTTCGCTTTGACTTGGCCATCGTTCTGGTCTTTTTGGGTGCATTTGGAAGTCTTTTGTTCACGTAGAGTAGGAATTTTGGTGGAGATTGAGTTGGAGTTTGAAGATTTGGCTTCGCGTCTTGGTTCTTCTTCCATTCTCCTCTCTCCCTCTTGTTTAATGTTTGTGTTGAATTATATGCATTTTCTTATTGGTATTCTGAATATGTAGGGCCAAAGCTTTGATTCTAGAATTATTTTGAACTCTTACATGAATGAAGTCTTGATTACCTACTCCTCTCTACAATTAAAACGCAGGTATTTCGTAATACATCATTTCATATCCAAACATAACATGTGAACCCAAGAAACAAAGAATGCAATTTCATTAAAAAAAAAATTGCATTATTTGTTTCTTGGGTAATGAAATTGCATTCTTTGTTTCTTGGGTTCACATGTGTGTTTGTGTCAAATAAATGTTTATATAATAAAAATTCTATCAATAAATCCATATATAATATTGTTTCGCTCCTAAATATAAAACCCATTTTGTAGTGTAATTACACTACAAAATGAGCCTTATCTTCAGGACCGGAGGAGTATAAGCTATCTGTATTATGCTATATTTGATCAACATACCGCGTTACTGAATAAAAAATTAATCCTGTAACATAGATATTCGCAAATCTTCAGGCTGTAGCATAATTTCGTGCGGAATCATTCGTAGCCGTGTATCCTATTTTAAATATCAAACTGCTTTAACTAAGACTAAGAATTAATAATTATAGAAAGAAAGCACAACATGGGTTCACACGCATTGCAGGCTATTAAATGCAGTAGTAATGTGTGTGTGTGTGTGTGTGTGTGTGTGTGTGTGTGTGTGTGTGTGTTTTTATGTGTGTAGTGGAAATAGTTGGCCAAAATAAATAATGTAGTGGAATCAAAAGGACTTTTCAGGAGAGAAGTGGTAATTAGTAATATTAATAACGATGTTAGTGATAATATATTTTACTGATACATTTTTTCGATGACATCATATATAAGAATCTTTTCTTTCTCTTCGCCATAAATTATATTACACACTCATCACGCGGACTCACAACCACACGCTTAATAAAACTTAATGTCATTTTTGCAAAGAAGCCCTGATGACATAATATTTAGATTGTCTCCTGGCATTCATTTTTATTTAGCAAAATGCAGATAGATACTTTTATGGTATCCTCTTATTGATAGCAATCTGGTTTAAGAAATTGTTGGGTGCTAAATGTGAGCATATCTCCTAATGAAGATTCAAGCATTGATTCAAAAGTTGTGTGTGAATAGCTCCTTCTGCTAACCTGACCCTTTTGGTCTTTTAAAAAAACTTTTACTTCAATTAAAAAAAATCCAAAGGCTTGTGCAGTGGGGAACTTTATTTCTAAAGTAGGCAAGAATATAAGAACAATGCTAGCTTGGCAAACTAACTCCTTTTTATTAGATCTCAATACTGTCCAAATCTGACCATTAAAATCATATCAAAATGCTAGGATATCAAGTATAAATGCGGACTTGCCTTTATGTGAAAAGTCTCACATCAAACAGAATAAAGCTTAATAATACGTATAGATGTAGAATAATTCATAAACTTACATTCAGTACTAAAATTTAGTTCGGTATTCTTAAAAATCAATATTTTACTGTTTACGACAAATATATGATGCTTTTTTCTTGTGTACTTAATTTTTTACCCAAGAACGAATCTCTTATAAAGCTGGCAGGGGGGGGGGGAGAGAGAGGGTTACAATCTGGCCATGATAAGATAATTTTGGTGACTTATCAGAGGAAGGTTCAGGAATATAATAAGCCATCTTCGGGCCAGCACATGATTTGCAGATCAACTTGTATTTATCTATTTATATACATATGCAATTTAATTGATCTGATCAGATAAACTTGCTTACTGAATAATACTACCCAACCATGTAAGCCCATGAACCCTAGGATAAGGGATTGGGAACCTTCGGTGAATTAACGGGGATTTGTTAAGTAATTAATT